AATTTAGAAACAAACATAAATTCGATGGATGCCATTTAAGAATTCTGTTCCTCGGCTAAATTTGAGAATCTCAATTCAAAGTGTCTAGTCCAAAGAATATACCTAATATTTCTCTAATAATTATGCCTGTGTATGCATTCTTGATGCATTATATCAATACTAAGCGAGACCCACATAAATACGAATCGACCAAATAAGAGAGAAAATCTAGTGATGTGTGATACCAATATATGGGCAGTCCTAAGCCCTTGTATGATTTTGTTAAAAATTAGTTTTTTAATAAATTTCGATAAAATTTAATGAAATGTATGATATTAAAGTTGACAATCCCATGGATTATGTGGTATTAATTATTAATTTTGACTTAAATTCTTATAACTAATCCAAACATGGACTAGGTGTGCTAAAATTCCTTGCAAAGTAGTGCTAATTTAAAGTTTATGAAGATAACTACACTCTTTAATAAAATTCTGTTTCAAATCTTCAACCATGTGGTACCACCACAAATACAGCCCAACTTGGTACATCCCATTTCATTATCCCATAAACAATATTGTTTAGATTAATATGCCAAATGATTTTGTGAAAAAAAAAGTAAAAAGTGTAATCTTTTACTTCACTCAGCTTTATTCTACTAATTCATTGTTTTATTCGTGAAATTACGACATTATTGAAACATAAAAGTTGTACATGAATCACATGATTGAAATGTAGGCAAGAAGATTAATAATTGATCGTTTACATATCTTTCTTTATTGTTTCTTTTATTATTATTGAGTATTGTTATTCGACGTAGCATACATTTCCATTTTAAGATGAGATGATATTATTGGATGAAAAAAAAGGAATATGCTATTTGTATATAATGTGGTATTCATATTTATGTTCACCTCCCTCACATTGAGGGGAGCTCACTTCAAATAAATCATATTTTATTTGAAATGTGGCTCCCTTTATGTAAGAGAGATGAACAACGATATGGACACCTCGATGTACGTGTAGTATAATTTAAAAAAAATGATTTTGTAATAATTATATTTGCGGATTTGATTTGCACGTCCATTGTGGAAAGAAAATAATAATATTTTATATTATGGAAAATTGAATAGTGTCCATTGTGCTAGAAGTTTCGGGTTGAAATTTTCTTAATTCATTTGTGGAATTTTAATTAAATTTTTGAACACTCAGCCATAGTTTCATATAAACTTTTCCCCCCGTTTTGCGAATCTTCCAATTCAATTATTTCTTGTAAAATTCTCCTTCCCAAGGAATGAAATCCACTGGCACGCTATCAATAATGTTCCAATATTATGAAAATTAGACTAAAACGCAACTAATTTCAAACTACTGTGATTTAGGAAAAAAATTTAAATACATAGTAGCCTCTTTTTGGCCTTCATTTTTTAATTTTTTTAAAAATTATTTTGAACCACATAATTTATGGGATTTATAACTTTTGTAAATTTTTCAATAATACATTTCATCAAAGATTACTAAAAATTTGATTTTTAACAAAACAAAACAGGTGTATACGTTCAACGATTTTGGTTAAAAATTGACAATCCGCGTAGATATAAAACTATTTAAAAAGTTTTAAAATTGAAATTCGAACTTCCAAGTTCTTTGATCCAAACAGGGATTTTGATTATTAAAAAAAAGGTCATTTTATTGTTTTCTACATTTTGCAATAATAATATGCCATTTTCTGAATAAATTGAGAATATGTGGACTACAATTGCAATTTGATATTTTGTTGGCGGTTTTTGTAATGAAAGAACAATCTGGAAACAAAAACAAAATTACTAGATCCAAGTTTGTCAAAGTCACCCAAAGGACTTTTCATGGCATTGTCCCGCCATTGCTTAATTTTTCTTACACGTAATTCTTACAAGAAATTAGTAAACAGTTTAATGGATAGAAATCAAACATTTCCAAAACTTTTAACATATGTATAAAACAACTACAGTCCTATGATTTTTTTGTCACTTCAAAATAAAAAATGTGACCTTGTAAGTATTGGTCTGGTCGATTATTGATCAAAATTAAAGAATATATAAATTTTCTTCTTCCAAAAAAAAAAAAGAAAAAAAAAGAGAGAGACTACATCCAACCCCTAATAAAAAATTGGTTTGGCTGATTATTGATCAAAATTAAAGAATGCATAAATTTTCTTTAGAAAAGAAGAGACGAAAATCGAAAGATTTTTTAGAATTGTTTCTTTTTTTCATTGGATCGTTTGAAATTATATTAGTGTATATCAATTATCATAACTAATATTTTTGTCAAAAAGAATTCTACGAAAATTGATCAAATTCAAATTATCGTAGTTCTGACCTCTAATAAATAGTTCAAGACTACCAGTTGAATTCCAGTTTCAATAAGGTGGTAAATTGGAACTTTTTGTATTTTTATCCAGCCTTTTCTTATTATTCAAAAACTTGCGAGATGAAAATGCCAAAATCGTTCCTGTCCTTTTCGTGCTCCTTCCCCTTTGCTCGCGGTCAATTTTCTTCTCAGTAATAATAGAAATGTAATAGAATTTAGAGAATTTTGCACAATGGTCCCTAACTTATGGCCTCCATGCAATTTCAGTCCCATGTTTCTTTTTTTCTTGGCACTACATCCGATTATTATTATTTTTTATGAAAATTGCCACTTTCATGATTTTCATCTATTTGATCGTTAAAAAGTACTACGATTCTCTTAATTTCAGTGAAATAAGTGGGGGGAAAAAAAAGAGAAAAAGGAAAAGGAAAATAAGTAACCTGTCATGCTAAACCAATCCCCCAAATAGCCCTACCTCAACACCCCCCCTCACTTCCCCCAACTCTACATTCGGCTACAAGGGCATTTGGGCTTCTCGTTTTCCAGTAGAGGGTGGATTCCAAATGGGTCAAGGGTATTATTATCTGTGTACTTTCCATGTACATAATCATTGACACTCTCTCGCATGGAGGGAGGCCGGCACATAATTTATTATGCGTGAGCTCTTTCCATGAGCGGGAATGTCATTTATTATGTATATATGGGCCAAAGACTTAGAAACGGAAATAATGGATTTTGAGAAATGAGCAGGGAGAGAGTCAGGAGGGAAACCAAAAAAAAAAAAAAACACTTATAAGTTGATACATAGAAAAAAAGGTATTTATGAAAATAACCTTTCCCCCCGTTCCCGCTACCCCTAAAACCCATGATTGGTATTCATGGATTTTACACCGCCAACATATCACCTTTAAACCACCACTCGCCACAATGTAACTATTAAAGCAACACACGTTTCAAAGCCCATGCTAAAACTCACCAATTTTTAGAATAGGATATTTTTGATCTTATACACACCACACAAGGGTTTTGTTCTTGAGCTGGAAAATATAACAAGTTAAATTGTGAAATGTATAAATTATTTAAAATGGATTAAAATGAGTAAAAGAAAAATTATAGTTTATCGGTTTATACTATCTGTAGACAAATACGTGAGGGTGTGGTGGTGGATTTTTGCCTGATTGATGTGGGAGATGAGTGATTAGAAGTGGGTTTTAACTCTTATCTTGGCGGAGAATATAGTTCTTGTTGTGGTGTGATTTTTAATTGGGTAGGATTTCTTATTTTGATGTATGCTTAGCCGATGATTAAAAAAAAAAAAAAAAAAAAGGTGTAATTTTTTTAGAATATGGGTCCTCAATGGTTTTGAGTCTAAGGTGATCGTCTCTTGGAACTTGTATAAGGTTCGAGATTGGTAATTAAACAATAAACTTTAAGGTTAATTTTCACAAAAAGATAAGAAATTGTGATTTTTCTTACGCGTTTGGAAAGTCTTATGGTCCAGACTATGATTTAAGTTCACACGTTAAGTCAATTATTGGTTCAATTGAAAATTTCGATATTAGGAGTGGCAAGGATGACTAGATCGTTGAGTTAGCTTCAAAATAACAATAAGAATCGAAAAACACAAAATAAAATTCATCGAGACACAAATTGGGATGCAATGGCATGTTGGAAAAGCATTGAGCAAAAAATGATCAAACTCCTCCATATGAACCTTCAAAAAGGAAATGTGGATCTACGACAACCCTAAACCCCCTCCCATTCACAAAAGTCCACAATGTTCCAAAATCATCCCATGAAAAATTGTATTTGTAGGAGTCAGCACCATGACGCCAAACTTCATTGCCACCATAGCCACCACTATCATCACCTTGTCCAACACCAATATCACAGCCTCTACCTACACATGGATAAAAAACTTCGGCTGTTGAATTAGATTTAATCCTTTATTTTTAGCTATTGATAAAAGGATGGAAAAAGTGTCGGGAGAAGTATTGTTGATATCTAGGTGACGAGCAGGGTGAATTGGAAATAGTGGCCAGTAAATCGATAGCACTAGAGTTGATTACTATCGACATATTTTCTTACAAAGATTACTTGAAAAAAGACAAAAACTATTGTATAGCCAGAAACTGCGTTAAGAGAAGTGAAGGGTATCGCTGAATTCGTTTGAGGATTGTATTGGGGTTGTTTCGAGGGTGTTTGGGAGACATTTTATATAAAAATGTATTTTTGAATAGTAAATTGATGGAAAATGTGTGGTTGAAAAATAAGGAAAAGTTTTTTATTTACGTGTAATATTATTTTAATAAAGAATGTGCGATTGAAAAGAAGATAGAGAAAAATACATTTTGAAAAAAATAAGTACCAAACGGGGTTTCTATCGTCTTTTCTGCTTATTTATCTAAAATTAAGGATATTTTTTTTTTTTTTTTTTTTGGACGTTTAAACGTTTGACTGTGAAAAATGGCCATTATCGCACAAAAATAAAGACAGAGGATGTCAGTGCAAAGTAAAAAGAATAGGGACCGAAATCGCGCATAAGCTTTAGATTAAGGACCATTTGTAAAAAAATTCCTAAAAATTTATATTTGGGAAAATAAATAAATAAAATTATTTTAACAGTGTTTGATGTTGCAATAAAGGGTTCACTGCCGCCTACCTATATAATTCCCCGCTGGCTCTCCATTTCATTGCTCTCTCGTCCTCCTCCTACCTCTAAATTTCGCCGCTAACCCTCTCTCCCTACACAAATATAACATACATATTTTTATATACCTGTATTTATCGGCGCCGATTTTCCTGCAGTTTTTGTTCACTCCTATCTCCGGTGATCGCTCTAATCGTCATTTTACACAGGTACTTCAATTTTACTCTATGTGCAGTAGGTCACGCGACGATCACAGATCACGCGACCTCTAGCCCTAGCACAAGATCTTTACTTTATGTTTTGGAAATTTATTTTCCTTGGCTAATTCAGTTATTATTAGTAATTTCTTAAATTAGTTGTTCCGTTGCGTTGGTTTTGCTTTGATCTGTTAATGTTGTACTAGTTTTTGCTTTTATTTTTTTGTCACCTTTTTTTGTTTTGTTTGTTTTTTATCTTATATATCAGAATTTATTAGCTCTATCAAGTTTTTATTGTTTAGGCATTGAGGTGCAATTCCTTTGACCAAAGAACCTTTCAGTGTTGCTCTGCTGTTGGGTGGTGCATTTGTTTGTATATTTAATTCTAATGACAAATACTCATGTATGCACTGGATCTAGCTTTTGTTAGATTTGGAGTAGAGTCAAGTGCTAGGTAGGCATTGATTTTATTAATTTTTAAGCGCTTTAGTTTGTATTAATCGCAATATTGATTCAGTTGGGTTTCATGTTACCTAGTTGTTTTCTACATTAATTTGTTTTCTTATGTTCTGATTAGCAATATCTGGGACATAATAGTCAATGATTCCATCGTGCATCAATTAAATGCATATTATATCTAGTGACACGTGTGTTATACAGAGGCAGACGTTGAAAAAGGGTATCCAGTAATGGTTATTGTGGGGTATCCTCAATAATGGAATTTGAATGTGGAGAGGGCCTGCTGTAGCTAATGTGCCAAGAATTTTTGTTAATGTAGTTTCTAGCGTTTTGGAAAAAAGTTAATGTTTTTCGCCCTTGTGTTGAAGGTTTTTGTCTCAGAGCATGCTTACTGCCCACAGGCTTTCCTAATTTTATTTGTGACATTTTAGGCGAAATTGTGGCGTACTTTAGCATTATATGGACCATTGGTCAATAATGGCATTTGTGGAGCAATATTTGGCTATTATATTTTTACAACATTGTGGGTGTAACTTTAATAACCCCCAACTTCAATAAATTTTGGTGAGATCAAAAGGAATTTGTGCACTTGAGTCACAATCGATAGTTTTAGTCTTGTGATCCCATATGGGAGTGTCTGCAAGCCTAGTTTAGTTCGCTGCTGTAATGATCTATGATTTCTGTGTAAATTACGATGGGCTTGTACTCAAACACATTGACATTCCTTGACGAGTGGACAATTAACTAAGTATGATAATCAAGTTTTTTTATTCCTGTTGCAAGTGATTTGTGACTTTCAGAAAACATCAAATTTGAGGTGCTCAAGAAAGTTACTTATCATGTTATATGTTTTCATCATATTGTATACTTCCTAATGATAATTTTTAAGCAGTATGGATTCATGATATGTATACTAACCAGATAATTGGGGGCCTCTTTAAATTTGACTTAATCACCCCATTTTATGAAATGATGTTTCTATCTGCTTGAGCAGAAATATCTGTGCAAATTGAGATTGCTGCAGTGAATCCCTTTACACTGTTTAGGGTGCAGGGTGGGTATAATTAATATTTCAGCCTATAGTGTCTTATCATCTTGATATATGTAGCCGACATGATTTTATTTATTATAACTATGATTAAATGTTTGAATGCAGTGTCAAGTGAGCCAATTGTAGTCGAAATATAGATGCCTTTAGCAAAACTCAACACAACTGGAACTCTCAATGCAATTAAATCAGAAGGGAATGACTCCCTTGACACTTTCATCGGACAAACTGCTACTGCGAAGGAACCTTTTCTCTCTTTTTCAAGGCCAGGGGAGAGTCCAGTGCAGTGGATCCAGTTACTTCATGCCTTAGATCAGCCAGGTACAGCCAGAATATTTTCCAGAGTTCTAAGGTTAACTGCACAGTGTGGTAGCTATAAATTATTTTTACGCATCTCAAGTCTGTGGGGGTTTAGGATTTGGTTGCCATTCGAGATATGGTGGACCTGTGTGTTGTGTTGTGGGTAGAGTAAGAATGGTACTAATTTTTTTGTGGAGATACCGAGCGAGCAGGCAGTTAGGGTAGTTAGTTGTTACTTGTAGCAAAATGTGTGCTCCTGGTCTGGAATATTGATTACTCTTGCCTTTCCTTTTTGTGCAGATCTCCCAGGTTGGCCATTGCTGACTCCTCTGAAAGTGCAGATGCAGAAGTGTGAGAAGTGTTCCCGAGAATTCTTTTCACTAATTAACTACAGGAGACACATTCGAGTGCATCGTCGCTCTTTAAATGTTGATAAGGTTGTCTTAGCTACTCACAACTTTCATTCCTCTAATCAGAAACATTTGTGCAATTTGGCAGTCTGTTTTCTGAAGTTAATTGCTCTGAGAAGAAGTTTGTCGATCTATTTATTTTTATTTGGATCTATGATAAGGATGAAATGATTTCCTTCTGGTTCTATGTTCTCCCTGTTTTTTGATGCTATATTTACATCGTGCAGGAATCTCACAAAAATAGGGATTTATTGGCTGCATTTTGGGATAAGGTAATGAATGACCTTCCTATTTTTGTTTTCCCTCTTTGCTCCACTATTTGCTGATGTATTTTTATCCACAGCTCACACTGGAACAGGCTAAGGAGATCGTATCATTAAATGATGTCTCAATAAAGGTAGTACTCTGTTCCCTATACTCTGTTTGCTTATGTGCACACATTCGTGTTCATGCAGGTATGCTTGTCGATTGAATATTGCAGTTCAAGAAGGTAAAGTGTATCTCTAACAATTTTTAAGGTAGTAAAGTCACAAAAGACAGTTAATAACTATCATCATTTTTAATGAATATTGGAAAATGCATAGCCAGAGGACTAGTGCTGGCCCGCAAACCGCTCTAAATAATATTTCTATGGATTCTTATTTTGGTCATAAATTTCACAATAACCTATTTTGACGTCACCAATATAATTCTATTTGAGTATTATCTTTCTACACAGAATTATTTGCTCTATAAAGCTTTAGATGAGAATGTTGTTGTTTAGGTATGGTGCTGCTTTTACATAACTGTAAGTTTATCTATGAACAGAGATACTACCCAGCATTTATTCACAAATACCTGGATGCTGATAAAATCTTCTAATTTTATAAAAGAAAGTCCTTCAGCTTTCATATCGCCATCTTTCTAGGAACTATGTTTTATCCTTGCATCATTCCATGTACAGCTGATTTTATCGAATTTGATTTTTAATACTCTGAATTCTTTTAGTTATTTGTGGAAGTGGTAACATGTTTTTGCTCCAAAGAGTATTGAACAGGAAGGGACTGTCTTCTTCAAATGTTGGTATGTGTGGGTTGGGTTTGTATACATATAAGACCATATAAAATGATCTATAATTGAAATTACTTGCACATTTCTCATATACACATGGATGCTGACAGAATGTTCTAAATTCTTAAAGAAAGTCCAGCTTTGATATGCTTTCAACTTTATACTGAACCTGTGGTTTAATCCTGATTTTTTCTATAAAGCACGGACACTCTAATTAGGGTAGCGTGTCCGTGTCTGACACGTGTCGATGTCGACACTTTTCGGACACTCTACAATAATCATTTTCCTTTTTTACTATAGCTATTATATATTTTTTTAATTCAAAGTTATTAGTGAATAACAAATAAGTACTCATATTTAAAAGATTCTAACAAAAAAGTCAATAATAAGTATAAAACTAAATTTAAAATATATAAATGAAGAATTTTAAAGAATTTAACGAACGTGTCGATGACATGTCGTGTCAATACTTTTTGAAAAAAAATCACGAGTCGACGTATCCGACACGTATCGTGTTGGACACATTTGTCAGTGTCGGTGCATCATAGCCTGATTTTCTTGAATTTGATTGTTGGGAATCTGAATTCCTGTGGTTATTTGTAAAAGTGATGGACTTCGTTTTGGTCCAGAGACGTCAAATGGAGAGAGTCTATCTTCTTCAAATATTGCTGTGCGTTTATATACATAGAAACCTGCATAAGTGTTGATCTACAATTGAAATTACTTAATAACTTTATGCTTGATTACACCTTGTGTACACCTAAGGGAAGTTGAAAATTCCTTTCCAACTTTATAATGATTTTGGTTGCTGGCCTCCCAACTCGATGGGATATAAAATGTGAACCCCCTCCCCCCTCCCAAAAAAAGAAAAATAGTATAAGAAGGAAAAACCTCTTCAATTATTGGTTTGTTATGAACCTCTTCAATTATTGGTTTGTTATGAACCTCTTCAATTATTGGTTTGTTATGAACCTCTTCAATTATTGGTTTGTTATGAACCTCTTCAATTATTGGTTTGTTATGAACCTCTTCAATTATTGGTTTGTTATGAACCTCTTCAATTATTGGTTTGTTATGTATTGTGCTCTTCAGGAACTTCCTGGGTCATCAGTCGTGAGGGCTTTGGCGACATCCCTACGCAAACCAGGGATTTGGACTCTTCCACAGGCTTATGTGAAGGCTGGCTCTAAATTATTGGTAAGGGAGGCATTGCAAGTCTTTGTGCCCCTACTAAAAATATAGTTGAATATTATTATCTTTATCGTTAATGAGAGAATCTTGCCTGTCGCCAGGATATTATCCAAGCAAAACCTTCCAGGCTGCCAATATCCTCAGAGGAACTGTTCGCCATCCTTGATGATGCTAGTGAGAGAACATTCTTATGTGCTGGCACAGCTGAGTCCGTGCAAAAGTACATTTTTGAGGGGGAAGCTGCAAAAAATGGCCTTGAGTTGAGGAACTTAGTTGCTTGCACAAGCTTCCTTTTTGAATATCAGCTGGTAGTGTTTCATCACATTTGCCCCTGTTTATTTAGTTTGAGCTGCCGGCCTTTGTATGCTGTGTACACACAACTCTGAACTTGTATATGATTTGAAAAGTTTTCTTCGTAAAGGGCACCTACAGGCTGAAAAGATTCATGTGGCCAACCTCAATATTTATTGGGACTAAGGCTTAGTTTGTTGTTATATATGCTGCTATTCTACAGTTGCATGTGAACCAATAGAAGGAATATACACATGCTTTTTTGATTCACTGACCTCTCAGCGCACCTCTTGTCCTTATGGTAACTTGTCAAAATGCACCCCCTTAAGTTGTTATGCTTATGTGAGCAGGTGAAAGCATGGGTTGCTGACAAAGATGCAGAGGCTTTAAGATGTCAGAAACTGCTTGTGGCGGAGGAAGAAGCTGCACAGAAAAGGTACATGCTGTTTGCTGATGTATGATGGAACTCCGCAGTGATGTTGCACTATATGATAAATGCTTAGTGACGTTCGTATTCTTTCTTAGAAGTAACATCTTTTATTGCGGTTATGTTTTTGGTTAAGGAAAGTACATTATTCATTGACGTGTCCTTTTTGCCGTCAATTTACATGATAGATTATGCCACTTAGGTGGACTAATTAATTTCTAAACCACTCGGGTGTAGATTTTGAAACTGTTCATGTTACACTATATTTCCTTGCTTAATCTATGGGAAATCGAAGTTCCTCTTATTAATGCTATCATTTTATTAGGCAAGCTGAACTGTTGAAGAGGAAAAAACTGAAAAAGCTTCGTCAGAAGGAACAAAGGGCGAGGGAGCAATTGAACGAGCACAAGGCGGAGATGAACATAAATATAGATGTGCTAGCGCAGCCACGTTCGGCTGAAGCATCTGACCCTCTATCTCCATCTGATTTCAGTCCAAATTCTCCGAATTTGCTGACAAACATTGCCTTCTGCCCTGAACCCATAAAGTTTTCTAGCAAAGAAATAGGTGAAGATATTGAAGCTCAGATTGATTGCAGCAGTGAATATATTGACCAGGACAATTCCCTGACAATTGAACCGCAGGTGATAGTAGCAAATGGCCATCAGCATTTACTGACCAATAGTTGGCAGATGCCGAATTCTCAAAGGTGTGGACAAAATGGCATTCATGTGTGTCAAAATCTTCAAGCTTCAAAACCTGAACCTATGCAAAAGCATGGTCCTTCGAGAGACCGGGGGACTCTACTTGATGGCAGCAAAATTTGGACCAAGAAATGTAAAGCAGATATTGAAGGGGAGAGCTGGAGACGCAGAGTGCTTAGAGAGTCCAGTAACCAAACACAAGAGAATAGCCGTGAGGTGATGATCGGTTCTATTTCCGTCTTGCTGAGAAATTCCATCACTCAGAAGCAGGATGCTTATCCGGATAAAGCATCTGATGACATGCTTAAGAATGGTATTTCCGAAAAGCCAATTAAATCCGATGCCGTTCCGTTTGGCATGAACCGAGTGAGTCGGCATGAAACTAGAGGTCCGTTGCCAGTCCAAAGAGGCAACATAGATTTTGAAGACGAGCTCTTGTTGGAAAAGGTTTGTGATCGAACTGTATCCAGTGAAAAATGTGTACAATCATGTTCCATGGAGGACAAAGATCATGGTAATAGTGGCAGGCGCAGCCATGTGCTTTCAGATGCTCAGACAGGAGCTTCATTTTTCTCCAGTATTGATGCAAAAGAGTTTCTTGCGCAGAGTATGTTTTTAGCCGTCCTTTTGGTCTCCAACTTTACGGTTTACATCAATCTTCGCTAAGCTTAAATAGTTTACTCAAGATTTAAAATAAATATTCTGACTGGTTAAAGTTAAAAAAACAAGTAATTTATTTGGATGGTAACCTAAGAGTTGCTTGGACAATAAGTGACCTTTTTAATGCAAAAGTAATGGAAAAATAACAAGTCCAAACATGTTTGAAAATATGAAGTTAAGTAACTTCAACTTTTCTTAAGCTTAGCCATACATGCTCCATTCATATCTTGGACTCGATATATTCAATAATTTTGGTTGGTTTTAATTGATGCAGGATGGAAAGAAGCTATCTCAGCAGAACATGTGAGATTGGTCCTTACCTCGGAGCATGAATCTCCCAGCCGCCCTGATGTTCAAGATGACGATTCAATGATGTCTCTGGGATCAGATGCTAATGAGCTCGGCGTTCTTGGAAATGCTGAGAATTGGCCCTTTTCGTCAACCAGCGGAAAAGTTCAAGTTAAGTTTAGACCAAAGCCGGGCAAGAGTTTGAAAGTAAAGTACATTCCAAAACAAAAAGCTGCTGCCTAGGTTAAGAGGGGAGTAGTAGGTATCATTGTACCCTGTTTGTGCAGTTTAAAGCTTTGCCATTACATTACACCCATAGCAGAGGTTCCAGTTTTACGTGTGCACTTCTGTCCAAAAATTGAAGGGAATTTTTCGACAAGCAGATTCTTTTTTTTTTCCTCCTGAAGGGGAAATTACATTATATTATTGTCTACCCTTGAGCTGCTTGAGCATTTTGGAAAGGGGGGGTTTCTTTTTCTTATTATATATCCCTGTAATAAATTGGTATTGTACTGTTACTGCAGATCTCTGTTTTGGTTTTTATCATACTCGAACGTTTTGCCAGATTATGTGTGAATACATGATTCAATCAAAGATCACATTTCTTACATACTGAAAGGATGACATTTACTGCTGTAAAAAGCTCTTCCCATCTTAGTATGATAATCATTATGTTTGCCTTTAGTGATGACTACGTGGGTAAACTGTTATGTTTTTCTCCCTTGGCTAAACCTTCGTGGGTAAAATGTCTCCGTTGCCACTTAATTTTTCATTTTTTTAATATTAATATTTCCAAGTTGTTATTGATTTTAAATGTTTTCGAGTTGTCATTAAACTTTTTTAAATATTACTCAGTTGCCATTGAATTAGAAGTTCTTTGAGTTGTTATTGAAATCACCATATATTATGACATTTGTCATTCTGTCACTTGATATTTTAACGAATTAGATGACATAGATTGAATGATGGATGAGATTTCATTATAGTAAGTTTACCAAATTTGTTAACTTTTGCAATGATGGGCGACAGAGAGGAAGATGGGATAATCTTTTACAAAGTTCAGTAGTAACTTGGAGAACTTTTAAAGAAAAATAACAAAAGAATTTAAGAAAAGTTCGAGAACTTCTAATTTTAATTTAGGAATGAAATTTCAATGATACATAACTCGTAACCCAATATCTGTCTTCTAGAACTAAACCTGAATGTCATTTATTTTTTGCTTTTGCAAAATATAGAGGAAAATTCTTGAGGATCGAGTTCGATAGAGAATGAAAAATAGCAGCATCATCATCAAGTTAAACTAGAAAATTGATGAAACATTTTCTCCATTAGGTTAAATTCCAAAATATAGTTGATATTTATAATAGCAACACTTGGTTAAAATATCAAACTCGATAGGATGATGATATGAAAATGGGTTAATTTCACAAACGATCATTGAACTTACAGAAAAATTACAAAACGGTCACTGAAGTTTAAAACTTTCAGTAACGACCACTTAAGTATTGAGACGCTTTCAAAAATGGTCATTGAAATTTAAAATTTTTTGAGCTACTTTTGCTGTAATTTTTCGACCACTTCCGACCATCGATACCACTGGATTTTGATACCGTTGGAAAGCCTACAATGTCCTCTTCAATTACAATAAAAAATTTCCCCCAAACTTCAAAGGATTCGGCCGAAATAAACTCACAAAGTTGGCTACCCGAAAAGGCAAGAATCTGCCCAAATTTTCAGATTTTTGGTGGACTTTTGCGACGATTTTTTGAAAACTTCTGACCACTAAAATAGCCAAATTTTGATACCGTTGGAAAGCCCACAATGTCCTCTTTAATTAGCATTCAAAATCTCCTCAAAACTCCAAAAGATTCGACTGGAATAAACTCACAAAGTTGGAATCCCAGATTTTCGCTTTTTTGGGATGCCGACTTTGCCAGTTTATTCCGGCCGAATCCTTTGGAGTTTGGGGGAGACATTGTGAGCTTTCTAACGATATCAAAATCCGGCGATTTTGGTGGTCGAAAGTCTCTGGAAAATTGCCGTAAAAGTTGCCCAAAAATCTAAAAATCTGGGCAGATTTTCAGATTTTTTGGGGCAACTTTTGCGGTGATTATCCTGTCGAATTACTTGGTGCTACGGAGAGATTTTGAGTGGTAATTGAAGAGGACATTGTTGGTTTTTCAACGGTATCAAAATTCGATGGTATTGGTGGTTGGAAGTAACCGAAAAATTATCGCAAATGTAACAAAAAAACTAAAAAATTGTTTTTCAATTTCAGTGACCATTTTAGAAAATTTTTAAACTTCAGTGGCCATTTTTGAAAGCGTCCCAATATTTAAGTGACCGTTATTGAAAGTTTTAAACTTCAGTGACCGTTTTGTAATTTTTTTATAAGTTCAGTGGCCGTTTGTGAAATTAACCCTATGAAAATGGATCTCAACAAAAAATAAAATAAAATAAAATAATAATAATAAATAAATAAATAAATTAGAATAGAATATGAATATTTAAGTCACTTTTTTATATTCAAATGTATTTATATTGTAAATAAAGTGTAGGTTAAAGTTATTTTCAAAATAAGAAACTTATTTAAATTCAACTTTTAATAAAAATTATCAATTTTATAACTTGTTTACTTTACTTAGCCCCTGTTTGGCCCCCATTTTTTGATGTAAAAATGGGGGGAATAGTGGCTTTTTTGAAAAATGAGTGGTTGAAAAAGAAGTAAAATTTTTCGATTTACGTATAATATTATTTTATGAAAAATTGTGTGGTTGAAAATAAAAGAGAGAAAAATAAAATGTAATGTAATTTAATGTAATGGGGGCCAAATGGGGCCTTATTTATAATCACATTCTAAACTTAGCCAAACGCGAGTGCCACTTGTTCAAAGGTTTGACCTTAACCTCCTCATCTCACGAACTGAATCCACCCACAAATGTCTCCCTCTCTCTCCCTGAAAACCCTCCTCTCTCTCTCTCTCTCTCTCTCTCTAAATTCCTCCCAACTTTCCTCACCACAGATTGAGAAAAACAAAGCTTTTCTTCATCTGCAAATAATTTCAAACTTACAAACAACAATTGATTCAAGAAACACACGCATACACACTGTCTAGAATACACAAAAATGTCAGGTGGGGTTGGTCCATCAATCGATATAGGTCTCCCTAAAGAACAGATTCAAGAACCAGACATCACAAAGACAGCAGCCTTAAAGCCCACAAAAAATCCTCAAACTCGACGAGGTTTCTTCTCTTTCCAACAGTTAAATGCACTGGCGGTAATCATCGTACTCTCTGCAAGTGGAATGGTAAGCATTGAGGATTTTGCTTTTGTAATCTTCTCAATAATCTACATGTATTTCATATCAAAAACTGCCTTTCCAGCCACATCACCCCTTGCTGATCCCCCAGTGTTCGGAGAAACTAACAAAATCCTTAGTATTTACGTGTTTTTTGGGGCTGTAATCGGATTATTTGTGCCCATTGCATACATTTTGGAGGGTATTTTTGAAGGAGATAAGGAGGGGATCAAGGCAGCAGCACCTCATGTGTTTCTTTTATCTAGTCAAGTTTTCATGGAAGGGCTGTCCTTTTCAGGTAACTTTTCGTTACCGATTCGTGTTTTCGTCCCTGTTTTTTACAATTCGAGGAGGATTTTCACCATTGTTGAGTGGTTGAGGAGTGAAATTTATAAAGTGGAAGCAGAATATGGTGGCAGCAGCAGGAGATTGTACATTGGAAGAGCACTGGCCATTGCAAATATGGTTTTTTGGTGTTTCAATCTGTTTGGATTCTTGTTGCCTGTCTATCTGCCAAAAGCTTTCAAGATATATTACTCTTCCAAGAAGATTAAGGATTGAATTTCGTGGATTTACGGTTCGTTGTAATCTATTAAAGGTTTGGTGAATCTAGGATTTAAGACGTATGTTTTTATTTTCTCGATTAATAAATTAAGGATTACATGCGTTTATAGTGGCAACAGCATTTTGTTTTAGATAACCAATCTCCTCCTTCTTACCCGAGTGTTTGCAAAACAAATAAGCGTTAAATGGGTATCCTGAAATTTATTTTTAACAAAAAATATTATCCTATTCATAAAGAAATTTACTTGTGAGTAAATTCTTAAGCCATGAACTAAACTCGATTAACACGAGGCAGTACGAGGATGAAAAAATTACTCAACCATGAAGCCTTCAACGATTGCTGTATACAGCTACCACACCAAGTCACCAATTCACCTTAACCTCTCTCCCCCATTCATCTGCAAAAAGTTCCATAATTTCACAAAATAATTGACCCAAAACGCACACAGAAAAATGTCAGGTGAGATTGGTCCATCATTTGACATAGGTTTCACTAAGGAACAAATGTAAGTCCTGTTTGGTAACAATTTTTCACTCCAAAAAATCAATTTTTGACCGTTATTTCACTATTCCAGCCGTCACTTTCAAGTCCACAAAAAATCTTCAAACACGTCAAGGTTCCTTCACACTTGCAGTAATAATCATACCATCAGTAAGTGGCACGGTAAGCATAGAGGAATCTACTTTAGTAATCTTCTCAACAATCTACATGCATTTCATATTAAAAACTGCAATTCCGGCCACATCCCCAGCATTCAGAAAGAGAATAATAAAGGAACGAGAATTTACATGGTTTTCACATTGATAATTTGTGTACTTATTGCCACAGTATACATTTTGAAAGGTATTTTTGAAGAAGACGGTATTATATTTCTTCATTTAGCCAGTCAAGTGTTTGATAATCCGAGGACTTTCACCATTTTAAATACGGCACCTTGGTGTCTCGATCTATTTGAATTCTTGTTGCCTATGTTCTGCACTGAACTTTAAGAATGTATTTTCATCCAGTGGCCATCAAAACGATATTGCCGTACGGACAATAATATGAAAATATTCTTTTCTCATCACTTTTGCTTCTCCAATGTTTCACCTAGATTTCCAACAAACAAGATGGCCCAAGCTCAAATTCGAGATAGCCAAACATTTCTATGCATTCGATTTGGTGTCTCGATCTATTTGAATTCTTGTTGCCTATGTTCTGCACTGAACTTTAAGAATGTATTTTCATCCAGTGGCCATCAAAACGATATTGCCGTACGGACAATAATATGAAAATATTCTTTTCTCATCACTTTTGGTTCTCCAATGTTTCACCTAGATTTCCAACAAACAAGATGGCCCAAGCTCAAATTCGAGATAGCCAAACATTTCTATGCATTCGACGTGAAAATGTTGCCATAATCTTGCATCATAATTTAGAGCAACAACATCAATCTCTACGTTCATCAAAATCATCTTAAACTGAAAAAGAAACAAGACAACTGCTGCTAATCACCATCATCTCCTGTCCAAACCTGCTCGCAAAAATCATATTTTCTATTAAATGGCTTCTAACAAAGTTATGTTTTCTGCCTCGGCACAGCGTGAGTGTGAAAAGACTACTCATTCTGGCTAATAAACTTAACAATAACACTTAATTTCAAGTAACTTTTTCACTTTAAAAATTAGAGAAGTCACTTATTTTAGAAGTAACTCTTAGCTTCCTATCAAAATAAGCAACTTATTTTCGATTTTGATCAATAAAAAATATCATTCATTTTTAAACTCATTTACATGTAAGCGAAATTTTTAAGCTTAGAGAGACACATGCTCTTTGGCCAATACATGATACCTATTGATTTAATTTCCTTGATTCTCTTTCCCTCATAAAGGGTGGAATATTGGTCGGGGAAAAAAACAAGTTTTCTGTGGTGAAATGTTGAGCAAAATTTATTAGTTACAAGACCAGTACACTGCAGGATCAATTTATTTAATAAAATTCAGCTTATCTATAAATCTCTATAGAGATCCATTTCCGTTTGATACCTACTGGTACAAGCCTTCTTTCTTGACCAGATGATAAAAGATCCTGAATTCTTTCAGGCTTTACAGAATTCAATCTCCGTCCAAAATCCTCGACCTCCCTGTAAGTAGGGAAAACAAAAGGACAATTACAATCATATAGTTCTGCTTAACCAAAATCCATATTTCAAAAGTTGAAAGCCTTCTATTGAATTTCAATTTTGCTCAATTCTGTTGGCCTTAATCAAACTTAACTTAGTTGGATCACTTTGATGGATCATTTTCTTCTTTTCACCTCCATCATGGTTCATTTCTTAACTAAATTGCAAAATACCAAATCCCATTCAGTACCTCATTCAATGGGATCTTCCATCGGCATCTACTTCTAGGTTCTAGTACCATCACTTTCCCAGACTGCTGTAATTATAGGTGTCTTCAAATTTCAGAAAAATATTTATTCTCCCAGAATTTATGTCCAGTTGGTACTGCCTTGAACAAATCACGACTCTAAACACGCTCTCTAAAATCATTTTTCTTAAAATCCTCATTTCAGGCACACATTTACATTAATGATGTTCCTAACTTTCCAACTAATCCAACCGTCCCACGTAGCATTCCTGATGCTTCAGTATGTATTGAACTTTCATATGTCACTCATTTGAATCTTTAATGGGCACCCACACCCCCAACTATCTCAGCATTCCCTCCTCCTTTAGTTCTAGATCAAGAGCTGACAATATAATTTCGGTTTATCCACTGCTCCAACATTTAGGGGAATAGAATTTGAGAGCAGGCATTAGATGAAAAATGAAAAGGGATGCCAGGATTCACATGGATGAAGAAAGAGGAATTTGAGGAACTAGGGGTGGGGGTGGGAAGAAATAGTGTTTACTCCATAATATTTCACCTTCAAATCACTTACAACAAAATTATCATACCAATAAGATGGCATAAAACACCGTAGAAAATAAGAATAGAGGCTCAGCCCCCTCCTAGGGGGATAATGCTTCTTTTTAATCTTGAGTAAAAATGACAGTTACTGTAGACCAAACAAGTTGTCACCGCTTTAAAAAAGCAGGAAAAAAATGCAGTTTTGCACAATAATTTAAAATTTGATATCAAATCCGGAGAAAAACAACATGGAACGCGAAGATAAATATGTTACAACCATCACGCCTGTCAAGTTGCTCTTTCATAGCAGGATCTAACTCATTCTCTATAGCACCCTCGTTGAAACCGAGCTTGGGTGAAAATATAACAGATGCCATGTCTTTAGACATTGTAGTTTTGCTCGGCATTGAAACATTGTTACTGTCATTATTGATGCAGCCAGAAGAGAAACTATTTGATTAAGAAAGTATAAAGAGAGATCCATGGAATCAGCAAAGGATAATATGGTTTTCGTTCCCCTTAAACGAGAAAACAACAGTCATAACTAAATCATTAAGTAAAACAAAGAGGACACGGAAAGGAGCCAGCCAACCTTGTCTCCATGTGAAAATATAACAGATGCCATGTCTTTAGACATTGTAGTTTTGCTCGGCATTGAAACATTGTTACTGTCATTATTGATGTAGCCAGAAGAGAAATTATTTGATTAATAAAGTATGAAGAGAGATCCCTGGAATCAGCAAAGGATAATATGGTTTTCGTTCCCCTTAAACGAGAAAACAGCAGTCATAACTAAATCATTAAGTAAAACAAAGAGGACACGGAAAGGAGCCAGCCAACCTTGTCTCCATGTGAAAATATAACAGATGCCATGTCTTTAGACATTGTAGTTTTACTCGGCATTGAAACATTGTTACTGTCATCATTGATTCAGCCAGAAGAGAAACTATTTGATTAATAAAGTACGAAGAGAGATCCATGGAATCAGCAAAGGATAATATGGTTTTCGTCCCCCTCAAACGAGAAAACAACAGTAATAACTAAATCATTAAGTAAAACAAAGAGGACACGGAAAGGAGCCAGCCAACCTTGTTTCCATTTTCGTGGTTCAAAGAATTTCTAGGCTATTCTTTCCTCCTATTTTTCCTTTGTTCTTGGTAGTTTTAGACCCTTTTGAATCTGCAGACAACATAACAGAGAAATTTTGAAGCAACAATAGCAGAGAAAAAGTTTAGAACATGAACATTTTCGGAAAAATAAAATTTGTTTATAACTTCAAAGTTTCAGTCAGATAGCTCATGGACAATAAGCTTATCCAAGGAATACCAATAACATTCTCCTTAGGATAACAAAGAGAATGTGAATGCATGTAAAGTGCAACTTATAGATCAGGAAGGAAATTAATATAGTAAATACTGAAGCCAGAACATAAATTGAACCATTTGAAATTTCAAGAACTTGAAACTTCGACTGACTAGCTGAGACAGCAATTCTTCGACGACTTGTGGATTCATCAAGGAGACTTAAACATCATGGAGGAGTAAAAAATGTCAATTATATGACATTCAAGAAGGAAGTCTTCATTGAATAGAATGGATTGCCAATTAGCAATGCCTCCAATTCCAGCATTGACAAATGACAAATGATCATCAGCTGAGCGTTCATCCACACATTGCTCTTCTTCAACCTCAATATTCTAAAAGATACAAAAATTCATTTTATTAGAACAAAAAATGCACGTTACAGTTTAGAAACGTGTTATTATGCTATCAGTAGTTAAATTGATTTCAGCAATTTAAGTTGCAATACAACAGCCTAGTATTGCACCTACTATTATAATCCAATAGCAAAGGCTAGAAACAAGAACAGAACTTCAAGAACCTTTAGATTCTGTCTCTCTTTTAATTCTTTCCTTTTTCTAGCATATAATCGATTCAGAAGTCTGATACGTGGATCATCAGTTATATTTCTCAAGGTTTCCAACTTCTCCACCTGCAATATATAAATCATACCAATATAAGATACAGAAAGGGTGAGGGCTATAAAAATTTTTATCATCTAGCAACTGGTACCTCTATCAGATCATCAGGTATATGAGAGGTTTCACATATTTCCTCTGGAGTTTTTCCTTCAATCATCTGGGCAAGTGCACGACTGGTCAGATCAGCCAGCAGATGTCAACTCGCATAGTTTCTTCGTACCTCACCGGAAAAAATTCTAATCAAAAGTTTTCCTCTTCTAGATATACAGAAGAATCAAACTCAATTCGTCACTAAACAGGAACCTTTTTTATTGAAGAAACACTTGCTTCAATAATCAGCATATAAAGCATATTCTTGCTGTATTGCAACTTGCAAGACAAATGGTGTAAATCAGCTGATCCTGCTTGATTGCAGATGAGGAGAAAGCAGCAGCCCAAGTCCAAATTACAGTAACTAAATTTCGTTAAAAACAGCTCAGACTTAGAAAACAATATGAAGACCATGAAAAGATCCCCTCCCTGGGTTGACCACGGGATGGGGGGATGGTGTGGCGCGTTCTTATTCACCCAAGAATGAGAAGGTTTCAGGCCTTGTTGGATCGACCTGGTACTTGGTGAAATCGACAATAGTTAAGTATAAAACCCAACATAGAAGCATCAACTCTTTGAGGAAGGGATATGGCATCATTTTTGGAGGATCTCATGCCTGTTCGTAGCGCTTCCTGACATTTCACAGGGCAAAACATGCAACCTCTTCCTCCACTTGTTGGATCGAACTATCAATAGTTTGAAGCCAGATAAATGATTTCATCTATATAGAGGAAAACATAAACAGAATGAATCAACTATGATACCTCAATACAAGTAAATATTATGGCAACTTGAGTACAGAAAATGTACTACAGTTTTGAAACTCCAAAGCTTGCATCCCAGTCACAGAACCTCAAAATAAGTTGATTCAATTTTGGCAATTTTACATTCAAGCAGCTTTACCAGCAACATATTTTGAGTAATCAAACTGGAAAAACCTCAAAATAATACTGTCTACTTTATTCAGACCATTTGCAAGCAAAATTTTTATCATATAAAAATGGCAAAAATGTGATGGAATTTTTTTGAAGATCCTATTAGATATATTATATGGAAGACTTACCCACTCGTGTTTTTATTTTATAGGTTTTCTAGTACCTTATGTATTTTTTTAGTTGTTTCCTACAATGTTAGATTAGTTAAAACCTGATACAGAAGGATCCGAGTCGAGTGATGTTGATTTGTCAGATAACACGATGATGGCGCTGAGATACCATGAGATGGCAGATCGGCGCAAAGATGGAAAGTGAATCCCTATTATTTCCTAAATTGGGGGAATTTGACGCGTCTTTGGTAATTTGACCATAACTTTGGCTACGTTTATCGGAATCGCTATTATGACCCCAGTCCGGAAAGCTCTCTTTGGCGCGCACATTGTGGCCACCCAAATATGCTCGGTGGACGTCAATTTCGAGCCCAAAATCCACTGTTTTCCTTTCCAAAATTCAATTTTAAGTTATTTTTTATTATTTATGGTAATATTTCGTTTCCTTTTTTCCATATGTTAGAAAACTCGAATTGATCCAAATTTTTGGCCACTTACTTCTTTTACTTAATATTTTATTTTGGTATAATTTTGGGATTTTGCCATTTTTGGTAATTTTCCCATAATCGTATTTCGCAGCTATTTAACCCGACTTGTGAGTTAGTTTTGATCATGTTGCATTATTAATAATATTGAGTTGAATTCAGAGTATTATCTCTGGTTTTTTGGGCGTTTTCTGTCGTTCTTTTCTTGCGAATCATCTGCTACAACAAGCCAATAGGATAATCATTATCCTACCCGGCGTCAGTTGGTATCAGAGCGTCAGCATCTTCTTGGAAGATAAATTCCATCAGTTATAATGGTTGGTGGACGTGGTCGTGGTCGTCGAGGACAGGTTCCGATTGAGGAAGTCCCGCACCGTGATCGTAATATTCAGGATGTGACGATTGAAGATTTGCAGAGATAAGTTGCGAAGTTAACCCAACGTTTGGCGGAGCAAGAGTTCGGTAATCATGATGTAGAAGGTCACGATTTCGATACCAGTTTCGAAAATCTGTATCACCATCGTGCTCGAGTTTGGGAGCATCGTGGACGGGAGGATCGTCATGTGGACTTCGATTTCAGAGTGGATCTGCCCGAGTTTTCTGGTACGTTGCAGGCTGAAGGATTTATTGATTGGCTGAATGAAGTGGAGCGGATTTTAGAATATAAGGAGGTTCCAGATCGTGTCAAAGTGAAACTGGTCGCCATCAAACTCAAAGGTAGGGCATCTGCATGGTGGGAACAGTTGAAGCGTTCACGGGAGCGACAGGGGAAATCCAAAATTACTAACTGGGAGAAGATGAAGAAGAAGATGAAATGGCACTTCCTCCCTTTCGGCTATACTCAAACCTTGTTTCAGAGGCTTCATTCACTAAGGCAAGGCGCAAGATCAGTCAATGATTATACTGAAGAATTCTATCAGTTGGTAGCTCGGAATGATTTATCTGAGACGGAGAAGCAGATGGTAGCACTGTATTTGGGGGGATTAAGGCAGCCCCGACAGGATGTTCTCAGCCTTCATTCATTGTGGACAGTTTCTGAGGCATATCAGCGAGCACTTTCAATAGAGAAACAGCAAAGTAGGAGGCCAGTGGTCAGAGGTGAAGGAAGTCAGCCAGTTCGCCCTCAAGAATCTCGTCCTGCTTATCAGCCACAGCGGGATAGTTCCACCTCAAGTATTAAGTACTTTAGGTGTGGTAAACAGGGGCATAGGACGACTGATTGCAGGAAGCCTGCTGGTTAGAAGAATAAAAATCTTCTAATTGAGGAGGATATGATAGAGGAGTTCGAGGAAGTTGGGGAACCCGTGTATGATGAGGGTGAAGATGAGAACGTGCTATATGGAGATGGTCAGGAGACCCTGGTCGTTCGAAAGAGCCTGCTGACTCCCAAGGGCGACTCAAGGGATGATTGGTTGAGGACCAACGTTTTCCACACAACCTGCATAGTTGCTGATAAAGTCTGTAAGCTGATAATTGATAGTGGCAGTTGTGAGAATGTAGTGTCTGAGGAGGCTATCGAGAAACTGCAACTGAAGATGGATCGTCATCCCAAACCATACAAGTTGTCTTGGCTGAATAAAGGCAGTGAGGTAACGGTAGAAAAACGATGCTTATTGTCTTTCTCGATTGGAAAAAAATATTTTGATAATGCTTGGTGTGATGTGGTATCAATGGACGCGTGTCATGTTTTGTTGGGACGACCTTGGCAGTATGATCGCAGTGTTATCCATGATGGGCGAAAGAATACTTATTCTCTTAGCATTAAAGGGAAGAGAATTGTTTTGGTGCCTCGCAGGGAAGGAAACATCCCTCCCCAGTAGTTAAAAACCCCAATCTACATTCTATGTCCAGGTTTTTGGTTGAGGTTGGGCGTAAAAAAAATAGTTTATGCTTTAATGCCTCATGAAAATAGTACAGCGAATGTGGATTCAGAATTTCCAGCAGAAGTACAGCAACTACTGATGGAGTTTTCTAACTTGATGCCGGAGGATCTTCCTCCAGGACTGCCACCTATGAGGGACATTCAACATCAGATTGACCTAATTCCGGGGTCGAGTCTACCAAACCGACCAGCATATCGCCTCAATCCAAAGGAAGCTGAAGAGTTGCAGCGACAGGTGGTAGAATTATTGGAAAGGGGCTACATTCGTGAGAGTATGAGTCCTTGTGCAGCTTCTGCTCTACTAGTGCCGAAGAAAGATGGGTCATGGCATATGTGTGTTGACAGCAGGGCAATTAACAGGATTACAGTGAAGTACAGGTTTCCAATTCCCCGTCTGGACAACATGTTGGATCAATTGTCCGGTTCTAAGGTCTTCTCAAAAATTGACCTTAAAAGTGGATACCACCAGATCAGAATCAGGCCTGGAGATGAGTGGAAGACCGCGTTCAAGACACAGCATGGGTTGCATGAGTGGATGGTCATGCCCTTTGGACTATCCAACGCACCCAGCACTTTTATGAGGTTTATGCATCAGGTTTTACGGCCTTTCATGGGAAAGTTTGTGGTAATTTATGTTGGTGACATACTTATTTATAGTCTGACATGGGAATCACATTTTAATCATCTTCGTACTGGCTTTGATGTAATGAGGACGGAGCGCTTATTCATCAATCAGAATAAGTGTTCTTTCTTCACAACTTCTGTAACTTTTTTGGGTTTTGTTGTGTCTACTGATGGTGTTCATGCAGATCAATCCAAAATTGAGGCAGTTTTGAATTGGCCGAAACCAAAAACTTTGCACGATGTCAGGAGTTTCCATGGATTGGCATCCTTCTATCGTCGATTCATCAAAAACTTTAGTACCTTGATTGCTCCTATCACAGAGTGCCCTAAAGGGCGTGATTTTCAATGAACTGAGGAGGCAGAGGCTAGCTTTCAGTTGGTTAAGTAGAAGATGACGGAGGCCCCAGTCTTGGCACTTCCAAATTTCGAAAAGTTGTTCGAGGTAAACTGTGATGCGTCTGGAGTTGGTATTGGTGGTGTTCTGAGTCAGGAGGGACGTCCAGTAGCCTTTTTTAGTGAGAAGCTATCGGGATCGAAGAAAAATTATTCCACTTATGACCTGGAGTTCTATGCCATAGTTCAGACTCCGAAGCATTGGCGACATTACCTGGTACAGAGGGAGTTCATCCTTGTTATTGATCATGAGGCTTTGAAGTACATCAATGGTCAGCACAAGCTGAGTAGGCGACATGCAAAGTCGGTGGCGTACTTGCAGGAGTTTACTTTCACACTCAGGCATCAAGCAGGGAGTTTGAATCGAGTAGCAGATGCATTGAGCCATCGCACATTACTCCTCACCACCATGAGCACCAAGATTGTCGGATTTGAGGCATTTCCTGATATGTATGCTGCGGATCCTTCATTTGGGAAGATAATTCGGGAGGTAACTGATAATCACCGACATGATTTTGTTTTACATAATGGTTACCTGTTTCATGGATTGCAGTTATGCATTTCGGATTGTTCACTATGGCAGCAGATTATTAGTGAACTTCATAACGAAGGACATTTTGGGCGAGACAAGACATTGACATTGGTCTCTTCTGATTATTACTGGCCCAAGTTGAGCAGTGATGTGGCGCATTATGTGGAGCGGTGTTATGTATGTCAGCGGTCTAAAGGGGCTCTTACTAATGATGGATTGTACACACCATTACCCGTACCTGAAGCTCCTTGGTTTGATGTCAGTATGGATTTTGTCTTGGGCTTAACTCGTACATAGTGGGCGATGGATTCCATTCTTGTTGTGGTTGACAGATTTTCAAAGATGGCTCATTTTGTGGCTTGCCGGAAGACAATGGATGCTACTCGGATTGCTCATCTTTATTTTAGAGAGATTGTGCGTTTACATGTGTTCCACAGTCAATTACTTTTGATCGTGACACTAAGTTTATGAGTCATTTCTGGAGGAGTTTGTGGGAGAAACTTGGAACGAAATTGAATTTTAGCAGCGCATACCATCCCCAAACAGATGGTCAGACTGAGCTGGTAAATCAGAGTTTGGGAAATCTTTTGAGAAGCTTAGCCGGGACTAAACCGAAGCAGTGGGATTTGGCATTACCTCAAGTAGAGTTTGCTTATAATCGGTCGAGGAATAGAACCACCGGACTGAGTCCTTTTGAAATTGTATATGGTCGAAACCAATCCGGAGTACTTGATTTGGCTCCAATTCCATGTGTGGGTCGCTTCAATAACAAAGCTGATGAGATGGCTGAACATCTTCAAGGTATTCATGAGCTGGTGAAGTTGTCCATACAGGATAGTAATACTAGGTACAAAGTTCGGGCAGATAGTCATCGACGCCAGGTGTTGTTTGATGTTGGGTGATTTTGTTTGGGCAGTATTAACTCGTGATCGTTTTCCAGCTGGGGAATACAATAAGCTAAAGGAGCGAAAGATTGGACCTTGTGAAGTGCTGCAGAAGATCAATGATAATGCTTACAGATTGTGCCTCCCAAGCCATTTGAAGACCTCTGACGTCTTCAATGTAAAACACCTAAGCCCTTGTTTTGTGGAGTCCGATGAAGTTACTGTGAACTCGAGGGCGAGTTCTTTCCAACTCGGGGCGACTGATGCAGGAGGATTCGAGTCGAGTGATGCTGATTTGTCAGATAGCACGATGATGGCACTGAGATACCATGAGATGGCGGATCGGCGCAAAGATGGAAAGTGAATCACCATTATTTCCTTAATTGGGGGAATTTGACGCGTCTTTGGTAATTTGGCCATAACTTTGGCTATGGTTATCGGTATCGCTATTGTAACCCTAATCCGAAAAGTTCTCTTCGGCGCGCACGTCGTGGCCATCCAGCTATGCTCGATGGACATCAATTTCGAGCCCAAAATCCATTGTTTTCCTTTCCAAAATTCAATTTTAAATTATTTTTTACTATTTATGGTAATATTTCGTTTCCTTTTTTTCCATATGTTAGAAAACTCGAATTGAGCCAAATTTTTGGCAACTTACTTCTTTTACTTAATATTTTATTTTGGTATAATTTTGGGATTTTGCCATTTTTGGTAATTTTCCCATAATTTCGTATTTCGCAGCTATTTAACCCGGCTTGTGAGTTAGTTTTGATCATGTTGCATTATTAATAATATTGAGTTGAATTCAGAGTATTTTCTCTGGTTTTTTGGGCGTTTTCTGTCGTTCTTTTCTTGCGAATCATCTGCTACAACAAGCCAATAGGATAATCACTATCCTACCCGGCGTCAAAACCCTACATAAAGGGAGCTTATGCACTGTATTTTGCATACTCGATTACTGAGTACAGACATATTTCCTCTAATTTTTGCTGCTATCTTCTCTCTCGTTTGTCTGATTCCTCGCATCTTTCATTTCCCTCTTCTTCTGTTTCTTCTCCCGTTTCTCTTCTCTCTCCTTTCCCCTTCTTCCATTATTCCGGTTACAATTGTTCATTGTCAATTTTACTTAAGTAAATGTGTATTTGAAACTGAAAATCAACGAATAAGGCCTATAATTCATGCTTAACAAGATACATTCTCAGCAAGGAGAATAGCATTTCCACATGGTGATATTCTGTAATAAACATTTCGAATAGAAATACAAAGCAGGATTGGTCAAATCATTGCTGTTTAAGTTCGTTCAATCTATAACCCCAATAAACAATAGCAAATAGAGACAGTAAAAATTTCATCGGGAAAGATATAGAATCAGAAGAACAGGTATTGAAAGAAACATGGGATGCAAATATCCAACTACTCAAGATTTAAAAAGAGTACCTTCACAATTGTGCCACTAAGAACTATTTCGACATTAAACTCCATGTAAGCAGGACTCGAGTCTAAAATAATCCTTCAACAAACCTCTGGTTTAACAATTGCCATGGGACCTTCAAACATTAGGTGATCACAGGGTCTAAAATTCTATATGTGCATCTTGGAGTCAAAAGTGAGGAAGCAACATATCAAATTGGCGACCTCTCTTCTCTAGAGAACGAAACTTCGTAAAATGACCATAAAATCAAATTGCAATAGAAAGTGTGCGTGCACTTCTCAAGATAAAACCTTCATCAGATCTTGATGTTCTGTTCCAGTTAAACCGTGGAAGATTAGTGAGATGTTATGCCTGGGCGGTCCTTGTTCAAAGCAATAAAACATTCATCTATGGGAAGATCTTTTCATTCATTGAACTGATTACCGGTAAATATAAAAAGTTTCCATTTCACTTAAAAAAAAATAATTACTGCGTCCAGCCACAACTGATGTAGC